CTAATCTTAAATTCTTAAGGATTTTTAGAATTTTATGTAGACACATGCATTCAATTTGTTCAATGTGTAAAGTGTTTTCTGTATTCTTATATTTTTGTATGTGTACATACTTAAATACATACATATATACATCAATGTATTTTAAAATAAATTTTAATAATAATGATCTCTATCTTAATATTTTTCTTTATTCCCATATAAATTTCTTTTTATTTTCCGTCCATCTTGCGCCTGTATTTTAACACTTTCAAAGCCCAATGCTCTCCTCAGTTTCTTCTTAAAATACATACAGCCTCTCTACGCGATTTTCATGAACTACATCTTCCCCTGACTGAATCTTGCATGAAAGTTTCTATTAGAATATTAATTGATCAATAATTTACTTGCAGTTGCTAACAACCCGACGTAAAAGAAAGCTTCCGATCCGCCGGAATCCTATAGCGAGTCACGCAACGAACGCACAATGAATTTCACACCCTTTGGCAATACGTTTCCGGGCCTGTCGCAGTTTACGACGACGACGTCGTCGCCGCTGGTGTCGACGGTAACTGCCGCTGTGGCCGTTGCCGATGCCGATGTGACTGCGGCCAACAACAACCCACAGCAACAGCAGCAGCAACAGGAGCCTGGCGGCAGCGGCAATCGCTATCAGCAGCAACACCAGCAGCAGCAGCAGCAGCAGGTGGCAGCCGGCGTGTCCATGGCGCACTTTAGTCAGCCGAGCAGCAGCGCCGCCGCAGCCGCCGGCAGCAAATTCCGCAGCGGGCAGGAGGAGGCGCTGCAAGGTGACAAATATAATGGGCATCTGGTGGCCACTGCCGCACAGCAGCAGCAGCAACAACAACAACAGCAGCAACAACAGCAGCAGCAGCCGCAATATGCGACCGTCTATGCAGCAAGTGCCACGACAAGTGCAGTGGATGCCATGCAGGCGAGCAGCTCCGGGCAGCAGCAGCTGCAGCAGCAACAAGTGGTGGCACCACAAGAGCTGACACAAGATCTATGCAATGCCATATTGCAGCAACAAGGTGAGTGGAATACCTAAACTCTAAAGCAACTCTAACAATGCCCTCTCTTTGGCTTTGCAGTGCTACAGAATACCTCGTGGCAAACGATCACGCCCGGCACGACCGTCGCGGACTACCTCTCGCATCTTCCAGCCAACACGTTGCCACTCTCGCTGCACCACTTCCTCAAGTACTCCGCCGAGACAATAAAAAAGGAGAATCAACAGAATGTGGTATCTATTAATCTAATCTAATCTAATCTGTCTTCTAGCCTATCTCTAATCTCTCTTACAAGCAGGTGTTGCAAGTGCAGACGGGACCAGGCGCCGCCATTGGCATCAATACCATTGGCACGACGACAACCATTAGCATACCTCAGCAGGAGCAGCAGCCGCTGCATCAGCAACAACAGCAACAGCAACAGCTGCCCCAACAGCAGCAGCAACAGCAGCAGGCAACACTGCAGTTGCAGACACAAAGCGTGGTGGCAAGCAGCTCGACAGCTGTTAGTGGCACCAAGAAGAAGAAGCGCAAAAAGCGCTCCAAAGAGCGCAAGCCTAAGCTGCGTCCCGGCGAAATCCGAATGGGCACAGCCTTGGATGGCAGCCCGCTCTATATGTGTCCCGAATGCCATGTAGCGTATCCGGAGCCGGAGCTGCTCGAGGTGCACCTGGTGGGGCACAATCTGGAGCGACGCTATGTGTGCGACATCTGTCAGGCATCGCTCAAGCGCAAGGATCACCTGACGCGGCACAAGCAATCGCATAATCCCGAGCGGCCGTACATCTGCACCGTCTGCCTGAAAGCCTTCAAGCGCAAGGAGCAGCTGAGCCTGCACTTTGTCATTCATTCAGGCGAGAAGCGGCATCAGTGCCAGGAGTGCGGCAAAGGCTTCTACCGCAAGGATCATCTGCGCAAGCACACCCGCTCCCACATAGCCAGGCGTGTCAAGGCCGAGCTGAATAGCCATGTGCGCCGAGAGAATGGCACCAGCATGTTGCAGCCGGTGGTGACAGCGGCGACAACGGCCGCCGTTCAGCATGCCAATCAGCAACAATTGCAGCTACAGCAGCAACAGCAGCAGCAGCAGCAACAACAGCAGCAGCAGCAGCAACAGCAGCAGCAACAACAACAGCAGCAGCAGCAACAACAGCAACATCACATAGTCGTCAGCCAGCAGCAGCAGCAACAGCAACAACAACAGACAACCGCCCAGCAGCAGCAGCAACAGCAGCAAATGTTAAATTAGCCAAATGATTTTTGTAAAGTCAGTTAAATCAAAATTCAAAATCCATGCCACACATTTGATGCAGCGCGCGGCAGCAACAGCAACTGTTGCCGCACGCACAAAATTCAAGTTCAACGAAACATAACTCTCTCGGTCCACGCAATTTAATTGACTCACACAAATCGGATACACGAATATCGTCGAGGATATTCAGCAAATGCAATAGCTAAAATTGTAAAGTCGTCTCTTTGGGGACACTTTCCAACACTGTACAATTATTCCTAGGCAAACAAAGTGACACACAAAGCTAGTCCTAATATACTATATAGTGCTATAAAACTGGGACCATAAACTTGATCAATTATGTCTGATTTATGCTATAAAATATGTACTATGCAGAAGAACTATAGTAAATCGGTCGTAAATTAAGAAATTCTAAGCATTTACAAAAAAATTGTTATTATATAAATTATTATNTTATTATATTTTATGTATCTTTTATATCTGTGAATAACTAAAAATGGATGAAGCCTCTACTCCTATCTTGAATTGAAATCTTGTATATACATTTAATCTAAATACTGCATACACCTTGTTCCTATGGAACTTTAATGATATAGCTATATATAATATTATATGAAAAGTTCTGTTAAATATGCTGAAAATTATGTTCCTTAATGATATACAATGTCATCTATTTATTGTGTTCCATTTAAGTATGTCTTGACCAATGAGTTCCAAGCTTTTGTTGATGTACGAGCATATCTTTTCCCATTCGAGTTCTTCAAGTTTGGGTCCCAGTTGCGCCGATTGTAAAGGTCCATCGGCTCGTAATTTAAGACAAAGATATTATAATTTTATATGCGAATCGCGTATTTTAGTGAAATGTATTTTTGTATAAAGTGAATATGTACATATATAAATATATATATATATTGAAATATGTTGCATTTAATTGCAGCAAACTATTTATGTACTCCTAATAATGAAACCAAGCGCAATTTAGGTCTAAGAACGAACTAGATCTATGTGAATGTACTATGACTTTTGATAACACTGATTAAATTTGTAAATACAGTCGAGTTAGTTTCTCATTTAATTTTTATTTATAAAATTATATGTTTACAAATCTTATGTAAATTAATTTTGTTGATTTGAAATCTCAAGATGCCTCTGTGAAAGTTGTCAAACATACGAAAATTATGAAAACTGAAACGTTTTATCGCATTCGTATTACTAATAGATGGCATCGAAAGAGAATATTAAAAGGAAGCTATTTTTTAATGTATAACAATAAATTCTCATCACGTTCTCGGATTTTTATCAACTTTTTTCCAAAATTAAAGGTAAAATTCATGGAAACCGAAAAGGAAACCAAGACTATCGACAATGTCTCCCGCTTTGATTGTAACATCTGCCTGAGCACGGCCAAAAATGCGGTGATCTGTGTCTGTGGCCATCTCTTCTGTTGGCCCTGCCTGCATCTGTGGATGCTGACGCCCTGCGACCTGCGTCGATGCTGTCCGGTGTGTCAAGCCAAGTTGGATATCACGAAAATCATACCGCTCTATGGTCGCAACAGTGCGGTACAGGACGTCAATGATGTGATGGCACCGCGACCTCCGCCGCTGCGTCAGGAACCGAGTGCACCGAGGGGTTCGCTCTATTTTGGCTTCCTACTGGGCTTTCAAACGTCCCTCGGCTACGGCCACTACCCAATTGAGACTATGGCATCCGTTCTGAATTTGAACGACGAACAGGCGCTGTTTTTATTTGTTGGCCTCTTTTGCATCGGCTGGCTGATGTTCTAGCGGAGGGAGAAATGAAATTCGAATAGACTTTTTGGATATTCTTATTATATTGTATATATATATACGTATAGGTCCAACTTCGTAATACAGCTGTTGTATGCCCTAATTAAGTAAATGGTAATCAGACCTTAAGTGCGTGTTTTGATTATTTGTTGTTTTTCAATTAATATGGATCAAAAATTATATCGAGTTATTCGTTTTAATCTAGATCATCATTTAATAATAATTGTCAACATTTGTTTKCTTACTTGTAATTAATTAATTTCGGTAAACTATATTTATTATGCACCATTTATTATATTCAATCAAGTAATCAGTATAATTATGATGTAATTATAATTAATTATTCATGTAGTTGTATGCGATTTGTGTATGTATATGCTTTTATCATATTTACGTGCTGTTCTTTCTATATGTGTATATATATATACTGTATRTGATCGATCATTGCCTGCGTACAGCTTAAATTAAGATATTACAAAATATACGTTAGGTTCATTAAATATGTAGGCAATTAAGGAAGTTGGCGTTTCAAGGGGCCGGGAGTGGGGTGGTGTAGGCGGTTTAAGCGCCAGGGACGTTAACGGATAATAACTACATCGCAGAGATTGGCAGATTCATTCAGTCAAGCCTTTGTAAAAATATGATGCTTGAACTACTTTAACCTGCGAGAACAATTTCTTATTTCAAAAACGTTTCCATTTATATATATATATATATGAGACATTTGCATGTGTGTGCGCTTAGGGGTGTATGCCTGTTTGTGTGGGTGTGTATGTGTAGGTGCCAATAGCTGCAGAGCATCCAGGACAGTCAGGTCCATGAGACACTTCCTCACTCATCAATTTTTACTACAAGTCGAGTCTTACAAAAACGTCACATTGTTTCTTTTGTTGTATACGAGTGTGTGTGTGTGTGCATGCGAGTGTGTGTGCGTGTGTGACTGGATGCCTATTTTTGGTTGATTTGTTGTGTTTCGATTTCGTTGCGTAAAGAGAAATTTAATCACTGTACAATAGAGCGACGGGGAACACTTTCGCCTAGCCAGGAGCAGACCTATGGGCCACACAAATATTTACGCTTCTGGTCATCCATATAATCGCGCGTAGACATTTGGATGGCTTGCTGCAGCATCTCGTTCTCATTGATGCCTGCAAGGAGTCAAAAGTAAGTAATCGCTATAAATTACAATTAGCAATCGCTGCACCGACCGTCGTTGGCATAGGAAGCCTCTAGCAGCTCCTGATAAAAGCTCGAGTAGCTCTGCTTGGGTGGCGACTTGGTTTCCACGCGTTTGGGCGGTGACTGCGACGACTGCTTGGAAGTGCATGGCTGTTGCTCTGCTTCCGGAGTGCGTTCCCTAGCCACTGCTGGAGCAGCATCACGTTTCGGACTCTTACGCTGTGGCGTTTCATGTACATGTGTTTCCAAACTACACGAATATATCAATGTGAGAGCAGTTGAGGGAGAGATGAGGTGGTAGTTGTCTCTTACCTATTGCCTGGCTCGCGCACTTCATGGCGGCGTTTCTTGCTGTTGCGCAGGTTGTTGCTGCGACGCGGTGTTTTGGACAGTTTATTGGAGCGCTGCGATACGGCTGTGTTGGGCGAGGCATTGCCGCCACAGTGACCCACGGAGCTGGTGCTGCTCATATCAGTTGCGTCACTCTCGTAGCCGCCCAGTTCATTTACTTCGGGCGGCAGCTTGTGTGCGTATTGTGTTTTAGGCGAGAGTGTATAAACGGTGGCCGGGCCGTCGCCGATGCTGGAGCTGGTAATTGGGGCTGCTGTGTTGCTGTTGTTGTTACTACTGCCACCGCCACCGCCGCTGCCGCCACCATCACTCGAGTACTTGGAGGGCGAGGCGTCTGAGTCGGTGAGTGCCTCGGCCGAAGTCACAGTTGAAGATGTTGCCGAGCCGGCGGCTGTATTGTTGCTGCGCGAACGCTGCATATTATCACGGCACCATTGCAAATAAGACTCACGAGCGATTTGCTCCTCGATGGCCTCGTTGGTGGCTTCCCAGTCTGTTGTCTTCAGCTTGTCCTCAAACATTGTCTATGCAAGCAGAATAGAAATATTATGGGTACTTAATTATTCATAGACGCAGTGGACACTGACCTGTTCAATTTCCAGCTGTTCGCTTAGGCGCACTGCCTCCTTGGTCTGAAACTCAGGCTTGTAACCAGCCAAGCCCAAGCCGACGCCCACGGTGGCATTATAGGGATCCAGTATAGCATTATAGTGGGAGCCTCGTTGATAGGACAAACGCAACGGCGGATAGCCAGCTTGTGATTGCTCTGAATTGAAGATGTTAATTGGGGCTGCAATTATCGAAAAGTGCGTTAGAATAGTATGTCTATTCAAATATTAACTTCTATGGTCAATCTGATAAAGTTATAATAGAAGGCGAATATATTATATATTATATTAGTATTATGAAGCATGATGGTGATATTATAATCGTAGATTAGACAAATATTAGTAAGCTGCTTGCCTTCAGGTCATAGCTATTGTGTTTTCATTTATAATTAAACATGTTAAATACCCTTATCCCAATCCCCCATCCACAGTCTTGACGACAAAGGCCTAAAGCATGGATAACATCCTTAAAGCAGTCTAAAATGCTAACCATAGGGGTATATGATTGGGTCAGCTTATCTAATAATATTCTGTATAACACCTGGTATGATAATCACTCCCTAGAATAATTAACACGTTTTAGTTCATGCGCCGCCGACTGCGCAATTTGTGGGAAAATCATTGCTGATAATTTAGAAATGAGAACACGTGATTTGTTTACTCACTCGACTGATAACAGAAGACTTCGACGGTGCGACTGTAGATCTCTGATATGGCCTGAATCTCGATGTGATTGCCGTGTGCATCGCGGGCGCGCTTGCGTTGAATATACCCATTGATGTCCTCGGTGACAAACTGGCCAAAGTATTCGCGATTCTCATGCTATAAACAAAAATACAGACGAAATATTAAGAAAAAGATTTCGTGTATAGAATATTTAAATATATTACTATATAGTCCATTGTGTGCTGCCGTATGACATCGTGCATTCCCTCATCTCCGTAAATCTGCAGAGAGATGGAGCGAAACAGGCAGGCCCCGTCTTCTTCCACTGCCCTCAGTTCGTAGCCGCGCTTCTCCATGCATTTGGCAAACTCTTCGTCGCGCCGTTTCCACTCCTCTACCGAAATGGTGCGCTCCTTCGGCTGCAAGTGCTCGTCGCCGCTATTGTAACCGGAGAATGTATCTTCGACGGCCTTCAGCATATTGGCTGCAGCAGCAGCCGGTGAAATCTGAGTTTGTGCGTTCGGCACATTGGCACAGCCCAAGCCCAGATGCTCTGGTGATTTGCGACCCACAGCTGTGGTATTGCTGCTGTTGACCGTTCCGGCAGCCACGGCAGCTCCGACTACTGAAAGTGGACTGCTGCATTTGTTGCTGACGCCTGCAACTCCGCCACCAACTACAGTTGCATGATTTAGATTCAGCTTCTCACGGTCCAAACGATCACGTTTGTGATGGTGTGCATGGCCTTCATGGTGTTCGCGACGCTTCGAGCGGGAACTGTAATGCAAAAGAGATGGATAGAGATTAAATAAAGTTGAGTAACACATCTCATTGAGAATGATATAGCCAAACATACAAAATGATTTGATTTAAATAATGAATTTGGTTCGCTGCATTAAATAGAATCTTCATTAAATATATACAAGATTTGGCTTTACAAATTTCAATAAATCAGTATATATAATATATATATACAATAGTTATAAAGTTAAATATATATATAACTTAATTAAACAGCAATTTCAAGAAAAAGTAAATGAAGGTGATTTTGTATTGTATTAAATTATTGATATTAATATATCAACGTATTTATGCTGTCTCCTATTTTCTTCTATATCGTATATCTCATTAGTTCCACAGATCAAGAGGTATGCTCAAAGAAGCGAGTCAGTGAATATTAACCCCATCAAGACTTACCTTTTGTGTGGACTGCAGCGGTGTGTGCGTGTCAGTTCGTCGTAGACTTCGCCGCGTCGTTGTGGACTCTGCGGGCATTAATAAATTCAAATGTTAAATAATGTGGTTATAGGTAACAAGACAACACACACATACCTGGCCATGCCCATCGATGACAACATTGCGATGCGATTGATTGACAACCGATTGTTCGACGACCACTACCTGCCCAGAGACGTGAGCCTCGGTGGCATCCCCATCGACAACGCGCTTGCCACTCGGCGCACTGACTGGCTTGATGGTCATGCTTTGACTTTAGCTGCTACTGCGGCAGCGGCTGGGGCTATTGTCTGTGAACTACCACGCAATACTTTAACGAGCAGCTCCAAACGAAGTCTTCGAATGTGAAAGCTTAACACATGTGTGAATGGCAAATTTGATTTAGCTGTTTGGCCAGCTCAGAATTCGATTTTCTTCTCCGTCTATATATAATATAGACATATATATTT